CCAAAGGCCTCAGGATGGGTTGGGGGAGGGACTGAGGAGGAACCAGCAACCCAGGGAGATGCTGAAGAGGTGGGGGACAGGCTGGAGGGCTTCCGGGGCCTCCTGATGGGACTGAAATTAATCTATCTGCAGGGAGGAGGGGTGAGGAGCTCATCAAGCCAGTGACTCAGGCATGACCCAGCTCAAGGTCTTTGATCTCTGGGGCTCAGAATGCAACCAGAGGTTTCTGCAGTCTACGACTTGGAGAGGAGATGGAGGAACTGATCAGAAGAACGGAGCTAGGGGAGCTCTGAGGGTGCAGGGCAAAGGGCGCCCTCCACTTGCAGCCCGGATCCCTTCCCGCCCCCAAATGCACAGCGGTGTCTGGTGCAGCCGTCTTTGCCCTGATATCCATAGTCTGACTCCATCTCTGTTTTCCTGTCCCCCTTAGTGTCTACCCTGCACTCGCACCCAAGGCTCACCTGGCCATTTCAGTAAGTCATTTCTGAAAGCCCCTTCTCTCCCCTCAGGTGCTATGTTGCCATGGATAACGCGGGGGGGGCGGGAGTAGGCCCTGGATTGGGTGGCTGGGTCAGTCTGTCCAAGAGATGAGGGGAGGGACCAACTGGCTTTGGGAGGATCCCCTCTCTTTCAGCAGAGTGGGAGATGGCTGGCATTGCCCCATTTCTCAGATGCGGACACCAAGGCACACAGCAAGAGCAGAGACCAGGGGGCCTGAGCACCTGAGGAACCATCTCCTGGGAGCGGGGCTGCCTTCTCTGGGCCTTCCCTCCTGCTCTAGCCTGAAACATCCAGGCTCCGCCTCTGCAGCAGGGGCAGAGGGCACGTGAGACCAGATTTAGAGTCAGAAAACCCCGGGATCGGAACCCAGCTGTGTGACACTGGGTATGTTGCTTAAGCTCTCTGAGCTCCAGTATCCCGGGGTCTAACATGAGGACTGACTGTCACCATCTAAGCGAGGGATGGCTGGGTGAGGGGGGGCAGGCTGTGCTGCACGTGGAAGTGCCCAGCTTGGCACAGGAGGTAGGTCACAGCTGCTCGTCCAGGTGTCCCCTGTGCCCTGTGCTGGCCCAACGACCACACTAGGGGTTAGATTTAGGAGGGCTGAGCCAGCACACCTCTTCCCTGCAGATGTTCGTGAACCCCTAAATTGTTTAGGGGTGTGTGTGTGTGATGGTCGTTGGGGTCCCTGCGTGCAGCCGTATTGGGGCGGGGCTTTCCGGTGCCCACAGCCGCTGTGGTGCAAGATGGCTAAAGACACAGTCCCAGAGAATGAAAGGGTCTGCCGTGTGGGAGACAGGCAGGGTGCGGGGCGGGCTGGCGCAGCTGGGGGAGTCCCTGGAAGAGGGGAGCTGCCTGCGGGGGGCCTGCTGTTTCCCCATCCTGGGCCCTCTCCCACCTCTTTCAGGCTCACTCTGAGCAGGGAGCTGGGTGTGGCGGAGTAGGAGGCCTCTGACCCAGGCCTTGGTGAGGAAGCCCAGAGAAGGAAGAGCCCCCCCAAGCCCCAATCTCTCCCTCCCACAGACAGCCTCAGGGGCACGGGCAGGAGAGGGGCCCCCCTCCACAGCCTGTGACGGCCTGGCCTGACTCCGTGCAAGCCGCCAGCCCCACAGAGCAGTAATCAAAGTGACAGCTCCAGGGGCTTCCCAGGGAGGGAGCCCCCCGGCCTGACTGGGACATCCCACCGCTACACCTCCCTCACGGACCCAGGGACAAAGCAGTGTGGTAAGGGCCCCTCCAGCCTCCCTGAAGGCAGGCGTGGCTCCCTCCCAGTACTCAGCCACACCCTCTGGGCTCTCAGCTGAGGCCCAGTCTTCAGGCTCCACACACTTCCCCGCATCCGCGACCTCAGGACAGCTGCCAACATCCGCTTGCTGAGGTCTGCCTCTCCCACCCCCAGCTCTCAGAGAGTTGAGGATACAGGAGAAATTCGTGGGAGGGGAGTGGACGTTGGGGGACCACGGCCCAGAGTAGGCGCAGGGGTAACCAGGCCAATGGAGAACAGCTTCTCCGACTGGCGCCCCAGAATTCCAGGGTTCCCAGAAATCTGAGGACCCTTTACCCCGGCCCTACGCACAGCTGTCACACCCCCGGGCTCCCACAGGGCCACTCACTCCTCTGAGCCTGGCAGTTGGGAGGTCTGGCCCCGTGGCTGGCTCCCCTCCAGAGGGTGAGGGCCCCACCGGCAGGCGCCGAGCCCTGCTCAGGGCAGAGTGCCGGCACCATGCCTATGCTGGCACCCGGCCGGCACAGGACCGCACGGGGCTGCAGGCCTAGGCCATGGCGGCAGGGACAGGGACTCACCAGGTCCCATTTAACAATCCGGAGAAGAATACCGGGCATCGGGTCTCCTGGTGTCCTCACACCTACCCAGTGCTCAGGCGACAAGGACTGTGTGAAGAGGGAAACCAGGTGAAGGGGGTCCCCACACCCATCCCTCCGAGCAGCCTGATTCTGGCCACGGGTATCCGACGCTGTGATATGTCTTCTCACACCCCTCCTGCTGTCCCCACACTGGCATGGTGGGCAGGGAAGGGGAAAGGGGCAGGGGCCGCCGCCTAGAAGCAGGACCTGAAGAGGCCTTTTGAAAAGGGGGGTTGGGGCAGGACAGTGTCCTGAGCCACAGGACTGGCCGCCCCCATCCAACCCTGTCCTCCAGACCTGCGTCCCCCCTGGTGGCCCCCCTGAGAACGGAGCTGTCCATCACAACATCACCTAAGCTGGAGTCATCCTTGGCTCCTCCCTCCTCTCTGAGGTCCCACAGTCCACCAGCCATCAAGTCCTAACGGTTCTGCTACAGAAAAGGCTCCAGAATCTGTTTCCTCCATCTTGCCCCCTTTTTCCTTATGCACCCCCAAGTCTTACCCTTCCCCCTTGCCAGAGACCTCTAAAAACACTAATCACTTCTGCTCACAACCCTTCAGGGACACCCACTACCTTCAGTTCCAAGGCCAAATGCCCCGCCCTCCTGGGAGGCCCTCGCAGGCAGCTCCTCCTCTCCTGCTACACGCCCAGCACCCTGCTCTCAGAAGGCCAAGGGCTCAGGCCCCAGGGCATTTGCTCTGTCCCCCTGCCTGGGGTCCCTTTTCAGTCCCCAGGATCCAGCCTCTGAGTCACTCCTCTGAACTTGACGCCAGTCAAGTCACCTCTCCCTTTGACTTCTCAAAGCCCCGGTGTGAGCCCTAGGAAGCCTGAGGCCACCTTGGACGAACACTTCTGCAGGTGGGGTTGTTTAGACAGCGCTCTCCTAATGGGTGGGTATGCGGATTCCCAGACAAACCCTGTAGGAAGTGTTTAAGAAGAATAAAGAATCTTCAAAAGCTGAACTCATCGAAGTGAAGTAGAAAGGTGGTTGCTAGGGGCTGGAGGTCTGGGGACATGGGGGGGACACTGGTCAGAGGATAGAAACATCCAGGTCTGAGATGAATACGTCTGTGATGTACTGCCCAGCAGGGCGACTATATCAATGATACTGTATTGTATAATTGAAAGGCACTAAGAGGGTAGATCTCAACTGTTATCGCCACCCCCGTGCAAAAGCGTAAATACCTGAGGGCACCGGGTTGCTAACTAGCTTGTATTGTGGTGATTAGTTCATAATACACAGGTGCATCTAATCGTCATACCGTACATCCTAAACTTACATATGTTGTATGTCAATAATATTGCAATAAAGCTGGGGAAAAAGCCAAATCCTCCAAACAGTGGCTTGGATACAGAAGGCTGTGGGTATTTCAGGAATTAACGCATGTCTCCTGAGCTCACGCACGCACTCCAGAAGCATCCATACGCTCAGATACCCTCGTACTTACACTCGCACCCCTGGTGTCCCCAAGTGCTCAGGTAGCAGAGCAGGTACCAGCTGTCAGAGTGTTCCCTGCTTTGCTTACGCGGTGACCTCTTCCCATAGCGTCCCTTCTTCCATTATCCCGGTTCCTAAGCTCAGTATGTCCCATCCCCTTCGGGAGGCCTTTCCTGTTGTCCTCAGGTGTACTTGACTTTCTCCCTTGTGTCCCCGGGGATATGTCCCATGAAGTGTCCACAACACTCATCTTTTTTGTGTGTGTGTGTCGGTCTCAGCCCAAAAGACGGATTCCGTTTTGGCCCGGGAGTCTGGGAGGGGGGTTTGAAGAGAGAGACTGGAACTTATTTGCCTCTGGGCCTCATGCAGTTGGTACAGAGAACACAGTGGGTGCCCAGATATTCACCGAAAGAACAGGCAGCCCTGTTCAGAGTTCAGAGTGGAGCCCTCCGGCAAAGCTACCCAACCGGGGCTGCAAGACAGGTTTCCAGCAGCTGTCTCCAAGAACCAGGCCCTTCCCAGCTCCCCTACACTGGGCCTGGTTCTGAACTTGTTTCCCCCGCCAGCCGGCAGCCCGCTTCTCCTTATTTTCCCCACGGCCCCTGTGCGCCTGTCAGGTGGAATCACCCTCACAAATGCATTCACCCATTTCCCCCAGAAATCTGCCTCGCAGCCGGCTGCCCCTTGGTGCTTGAAGCCAAACCTCAGCAAAGTCACCCCAGCTAGGGAGAAGCAGAAATCCTGGCCAGGAGTACAGTGGCCGAAGGAAGAGGGGCTTCCCTAGTCCACCCCCCCACACACACACACACTGCAATGTCGCGCATGGGCTAGACTGGCCTGCGGACACCACAGCAGGAGCCAGGGATGCCCTGCAGGTGAGGCCCTTGTCTGAGAGACCCTCCCTGCCTGGGTGCTCCAGACTGGGGTCCTGATCCCGCGAGACTCCACAAGGTTATCCCCCAGACCCAGAACACCCTCAAGAGGAAGCCTCAGACCCAAAGACCCTCAGATCTGAGAAATCCGCAAGAGAGTTGTCCAGATGCAAAACAAAATTTGCCAGCATCTGGGAGATGTCAGACCCTAAAATTCACCGAGGGCGCTCCAGACACAAAGACCCCACAGAGAGAAGCCACAGATCCAGAGCCCCTCGGAGGGGCCCAGAGCCCAGTCTGTGACTACAGGGACCCTCCGCACTGACCTGGCCCTGCGGGGGCCTTTCCCAGGCTGAGCTGCCGCAGCCGCCTCTGGTGGGCCCGCCCCTCACAGTGCACCTGGGCCTGGGCTGCCGAGTTCAGCTGGATGTTGCAGACGTCACACAGCGTGTACGATGGCCGCTTTCTCTCACGCTTGGGCTTAGGTGGCTCTGGGGGCGGAGGAGGGCACTCAGCAGCTCCGGGTATGGGGGGCTCCTTCTCAGCGGGAGGAGATGGGCTCAGTGGCCGCTTCATACCTGAGCAGATGGAGAGGGAGACAAATAAACGAAGGCTGAGTGGTGTGACTACATAGAAGGAGCAAGACGGGTTCAAGATCTAGACCTGCCTGGTGTGGCTCAGTGGCTTGAGCACCAGCCTGTGAACCGAAGGGTCACCAGTTCAATTCCCAGTCCAGGGCACATGTCTGGGCTGCGGGCCAAGTCCCCAGTAGAGGGGCGCATGAGAGGCAACCACACATTGATGTTTCTCTCCCTGTCTTTCTCCCTCCCTTCCCTTCCATCTAAAATCTTAAAAAGAAAAAAAAAAAAAAAGACCCAGAGATGCCTGGGCCTTTTATCCCAGCCAAGAGTCCCCAGGTTTTGGAGACCCCCAACCTGAGGACAGCGAAGGGAGCACCATGGGGTCTGGGGTCTGTTTTGAACACAGCAGTTTGCATGAAGAGGCAGGAGTATCTGGAGGAGTGTCAGAAATGTCTGCACGCAGGGCGGCCGCCCCCTGGGGACGTGGCGGCTCTTGGAGAGCAGGTGGGCGTTCAGGGACAGGCAGCGGTGAGGTTGCTGGAGGTGGCTTTGGGAAGCCAGAGCCGTGTTCTCAGCCCTGTGGCAGGCGCTGACAATCCTGTGACAGACAGGCATGTGGCGCTTGCTGGAGATGCAGCAGCCACTGGCCAGGGTGATGAATGCAGAAACCCAACCTCCCTGCGTCCAGGGCCCAGCCAGCTGACAGTCACAAATGGTGGCCGTGTGTGAAGCCATCCCCACCCTTTCCCCGTGTGGCTCCAGATGCGCCCCGCTGTCTTGGCTGCCCGGCCTGTGGCAACAGTTGGTATTTTTAGTGGAGACCTGGGCCCTACAGCCATGGTCTGCTGAATTCAGACAGATGGACACACACACACACACACGCACACACCCTAGCTCCCACAGAGCCCACACATCACCCCTCCAGGCCCCTCATCTTCCATGGCCTTTCCTTCCTGACTCACTTCTCGGAAATGTTCCCTCCTGACTCCCCTGCCTGTAGTGGGCTTTATTCTCAGGGAGCTCAGTGACCTCTCTTGGACTGAACAGTGCCAATTTTCATTACTAATTCTTTTCCGAATCTGTGTGTGTTCTTCCTGCCTCTGCATTACACTGGGGACGTCCCAAGGGCAGGGCCTGTGGGCCCCTCACCAGGACAGAATTCCTGAGGGCAGGGACTGTGTGTCTTTCTTGGACGGGGGCGGGGGTCCCCAAGGCTAGGGCCTCAGTGAGGTGTGACTGAGCTTCTCTCTCTTATGGGCTGAAGAGCATCCACCAAAAACTCCTATGTTGGAGTCCTAAACTCCCAGCACCTCAGAATGTGGTTGTGTTTAGAGAGGGGGTCTTTAAAGAGGTAATAAGATAAGGTCATTAGGATGGGTCCTAATTCAGTAATGACAGGTGACCTCATAAGGGGAGGAGATTAGACACAGGCAGCTGCAGACGGGAGAGCACGTGAAGACACAGGGAGGAGGCCTCAGGGGAAACCAACCCTGCCCACACCTGGATCAGGCTTCCAGCCTCCAGGATTGTGAGAAAATACATCTCTGGTGTTTAAGCTGCTCAGGCTGTGGTACTTTATTATGCGGCCCAAGCAAACTAATACATCCCCCTAAAGAGCATTTTCCTTTCCCTAAGTTCATTTTGCAAATTGGACCAAGAGAAGTGAAGTGGGGACCTAATATTCTCATAAGGCCACACATCCAATGGTGGAGCCCACATCTGAACACCGAAAATTAAATTCTCGAGTCCAGGAGCCCCAGGGCCTGCCCCCCACCTCAGAAAGCTGCTTATCATTTTCGCGGGCAGGGCTCCCACAGAGCAGATCTGTCACCCCACGTGGGGGGACCGCGTGTGAATGGGAGAGGCACAGCCACTAAGAGTACGAGCTCTGTATTGACTCACACCCGGGTTCAAGTCTCACGCGGCTACTGACCGGCTGTGTGACCTCAGCCTTGGTCCCCTCGTCTGTGTATAAAATGGGGGTGATGACTAACAGGTCCTAAGTCACAAGCACAGGATTAGATGAGCTGATCTATATAAAACACTTCTCAGCGTCCTGGAAAAGTCAGCCATTACTAATTCGCAGTGCGGCTGGTTTTGCAGCTTGTTGACAGAGTCACCTCGATCTGTCACCTCGAGTGTCTGCCTTGGCATATGAGGGTCCCTGTGAACGTCTCTGTTACCCCATCGTTCACTGAGGTGAATCCGTGTTGCTCAGTCTGTGCGCATGTCACAGAGTAGTTCTGTCACAATGTGGGAGTCGCTGTGCCCAGATCACGGAATGAGACTGTCCCTGAACATGTAAGACTCGCCATGTGCCCTCCCAAATTTGTACGTTGAAATCCCAAACCCCGGCACTCAAGAATATGAAACACAAACTTGTTTGGAAATAGAGCCGTGGCAGACATTGTTATTCATTAAGTTAGGATGAGGCCATACTGGGGCAGGGTGGCCCCCTAATCCAATAGGACAGGACCAGTGTTCTTATAAGGGGGGAAATTTGGGCACCGTCATTCACACGGGGAGGATGTCATGTGACGGTGAGAGCAGAGACCGCGGTGATGCCTCTCCAGGCCAAGGGAGGCCAAGGGTTTCCAGCAAACCACCAGAAACTAGGGGAGAGGCATGGCATACACCTCGCCACCCTCGGAAGGAACTAACTAACCCAGATGACACCTTGATCTTGGACTTCCAGCCTCCAGAACTATGAGACAACGAATTCTGTTGTTTAGACCACCTGGTCTGTAGTACCTTGTTACAACAGCCCTCGGTGACAAACCCACCTGCGCCTGACTCTTCTGTGGTCAGAGGTCATTTGAGGGCCTCCCTTCACTCTGCAGGGTGATGTGGCTGGGATGCAGTGCCAGAGGAAGCCTCCAGGTGGCGCAGCGAGCACCCAGAGGGAAGATGGGAGGTGGAACTCGGTACCCCTCCTCCAGGCAGGCAGGACCCCACTCCTACACACTCCTGGGGCAACTAGGCTGCCCCTCTGAGACATGCCAAGCTCCTGGGCAACATGCCTGGAATCCGCGACACAGCTTTGCCACACTGGAAAGTCACTTCCATCACTTTATGAGAACTACCCCTCCGAGGCTGCACTGAGTCCCCGCCAACACGCGGCACCCTCGCACCTCTGATGGGCGTCATCCCAGCTATTCTCCTGCCTTTCACAAGTCTCCTCCTGTTCTCCCAGCAGGAAGAGAGTACCAGGTGCAAGTGCTGGAGGGGCGTCCAACTGGCCAGGGGTAAGAAGTGTTCCTGGCCGTGACAAGGGAGCTGCCTGGCCCCTCCAGAAAGGGGATGGGGGTGGGGTTTGAAATATCAGTGCAACTTAGGACGGGCATGCCGAGGACATGGCCCAAGCGAGCAGACAAGTATCTGCCATGGGGCCGATTAAACCTCCATGATATACAGCCTCTGGGCTCACAGGGCCCTCCTGGATTCCGGGGATAACTGTGTCCCCCACAGCCAGGCTGCTGGGCCTGCCCCAACCTGCCCTGCGTGCCTCAGCCTTCCCAGCTGTCCCCTGAGGAGTTACACCACTCAGGCTAAGCTAGGGCTCCCACCCGGATTTGGAGGGGTGGGCAGTTTTTAGGGCACACAAACATCCATCCAGCACTCCCTGCGCTGGCCCCTATTCAGAGCCAGCATGACTCACCCCAGCCCGGCCTGCGCTTGGACGGCACCTGGTCAACATGCTCTCTTTAACAGAAGAGGGAATCGGTCCCGGAGCAGGAGCGTGGACTCTTCAAAGTGCTTGGAAAGACAGTGCAAGATCTTCTTCTACAAACTCCCCTGCCTCCCTCTCTACTGCCCAGCTGCCAGGCCACCGTTCTTTAGAACGACAACCACTTTACTGAGAGCTTACTGTGAGCCAGGAGCTTCACGCACAGGATCTCTCCTAAACTTCACGGCAACGCCATGAGGTGGGCACTATTATTAACCTATTACCCCACGTCACAGATTAGGGAGCAGGCTCCGACAGGGTCAGGGCCAGACCTGCTCCTGCACTTGTCTGGCTCCAGAGCCCAAGTCCTTAATTCCTGCCCAGTCCCACTTCGCCCTAAAGCCCATCAAGCCCTGATTGGAACTGCTGGGTGGGGAGGGGTTACTGAGTCCGAGTGGGGCTGCTGGGGGGGCCTGGGGACGCCCAGACCTTGTCAGGCTGGGGTGCCAGGCAGGGAGGTGCCACACCCTGGTCAGGATGAGTCAGGGCCAGAGCCAGAGAGGCTGAGAGGACAGGATGTGAGGGAAGGGGGAGAACTGAACGGAACATGAGAGAAGACCGGGTGAAAGCAGAGAAAAAGAGCATGCGTGTGTCTGGGTGCCTATCTGTGATTCACACAGGGGTGGGGGGTAAACCTGTGTTCTGCCCCCTTCCCTGGGGGCTGGACTGGGGAGGGAGCCTCCCACTTGGAGGCTGGCTCGCACCAGAGCTGGAGAGCTGATGGAGGCCAGGCTTGCTGCCTGCCTGCCCGCCTGCCCATCCACAGGGAGCCACAGGCACTAGGGGATGGAGGGAGCACCCAGGCGGAGCCGGGGGGCCCCCTCCCCTCCACTTCTTGCTGAGTGACAATGGACCTCAGGGCTGCGTTTCAGGGAGGCGGGATTCTCTGTCTGCCCACTCGAAGAGGGTTGGCTAGAGAGACCTTTGGAGGCCACCAAATGTGGAACCAGAGTTGATTCAGCTGCAGCCTGGGCCACTGGGTCCTCAACAAAGAGCTGCTTTTGCCGAAGGGTTAACTGGAGAGGAAGGTTCTCGGCCTGTCCCCAGCCTTTGGCCAGGCACGAAGGGCTCCCTCACCAAACCTTTAATGAACCCAATTACATTCTGGTATTTTCCCCCACATCTGCCAACTTTCACCCTCCCGCTTCCTCCAGCCAGGTCCCAGGACCTGCCTTTGAGAAGGGAGCCTGGCGGTTGGATCAGCCTTGGGCCAGTCCCTGCCCCCCTGGGCTTTGGTTTGCGTCTTTAAAGAGAGGGGGATGGGCAGAGC